CAAACGCGGCAGCCAATTGCGCACAGCAATGTCCCACAAACAGTCGTAGAATGAAAATGACCAATTGTCGTTATTGTTTTGGGTTTTGGAGGGATTATTATCAGGCTCTGTGTGGAGTAAGGAAACTTGCCCAAGGTTTCGCCCTCTGCCTGGAATTGAACTCAGGTCTCTCGCTTGCAAAGCGAGTGCTTTAACCACTGAGCTACAGGACTCCACAGTTTAATAATTGATATTCCACTGAAAAGCCAGATGAACATCCTACAATAATGAAAATGCAAAGAGCAAATCATAAATCCATAGAATATTGAAAAAAGCTAGAACTCTGTGTAACAGTGAATTGTGCGAATGATGTCTTCTCTTCCCAGATCACATACTTCACTCTGTTCCAGGTGTGTGCTTGTTTATTAGGGAAGCTTGCTCTCAGAGCCCGTAGTCAATGTCTGCATTGAGTCGTGTGCTAAGATGCAACAAAATGGATGCTTGGCCTCAATGCTTATCCCATAACAACTCTCACTGCAGCAGAACTCAGTTTCACCCTTCAATGCGTTTCTCACTGTTCCTCTCTTCCCCACCCCATGGCTGGTAAGTAAAGGCACCACCTGGTGGCAGTTCTAAGCCATACAGACCAGAAGGGTGCAAGGTTTAAAAACTGGAGGAGGGAAAGTACTCGGCAGAAGAGGTATGTTGGTTGACTTATTGCTGAGGAAAGGAGACAAAAATTGTGTTATGCATATGTACACAGGAAGAACAAGGTGAGCTGAACAGCTTTTTAATTTTTTTTTGAAAAACACAACCACAATGTCTTATTCAGCATTTGCATCAGTAAATTGATGGAAACTTCTGTGTTTTCACAATCTTGAGGTCAAAATAAGAGCTTGTTAAGCCTGTTTTTTCTACTTAAAACCACTATGTACATTTTCACAAACTAGTTTTTCTTCTCTCTCTCCCTTCTCTGTAACATTGTTGTCAGCTGAATGCTACTGTTGTTAAGGGCTCTGGGAAGCTACCCTGCATGGAGGGCGCTATATAAGTACAAGTCGTTGTTGCTGTTGTTTCATCTATCTCTTGCATGTTCATTCAGCTGACAGACACGGGGGTGGGGGATGTTAATAAAGCAGAGCTGAGAGCTGACCAATGATGAATGTACAGTACCTGGTGACTCTTGAGGCCTCGTGGCAGATGCTCAATTCAATCTTTCAAGAGTTCAATCCCTTCGAGTCACAGATAACGGCTTATATCGTTCCTGGGAGCGTTCTAAATCTTGTTCAAATTGGGTCTTGCTTTTCATGCTGTAGCAAGGATTTGAAACTATTTCCGTGTCACCAGTTTGTTTCTAGACTCAAGCCATCTACAGAGGCATCTGGTAATGTAGAATGAGCGGGTTTCCTCACTCCGGATCTTACAAGACCCAATTCTGAGTTGAATCAGCTGTTTGTTCCGGAGCTATGGTGAAAGAAAAGCTGCTGATCCCGAGCATGTAACTAGACTTTTTAATCACAAGGCCGTTTTCCATACTTCCCTATCTCTGTTGGCTTGCATTGCCTTCACCCGCCATCCCAAAATGACTCCCTGGATTTTCATTGCTGAAATGGGTCAGTTCTTTGAGCCAACTGGCAGCTGAAGAAAATTATTAGCTGATGAAATTTATATCATAATAATAATCCTGGCATTTGATATAGCGCTTTTCATGCCTTCGAGATGTCCCAAAGCACTTCACAGAATATACTGTAAAGTGAATTGACTGTGTATTTGTGGGCGAAACCTTTCAATTTCTTTCTCCATACTCTTTAATACCACTATTACCCAAAGTGTCCGTCAGGTTACTTTGCTTCTACAGCTTTCTTAAGAGGATTTCCACATCTTTGTAACCCGCTGTGTGAAGGAATGCTTTCCGATCTATTATGGTATGGCGAAAAGGTAGGGCATTCAGATTAAAAGATCTGCCAAAATCTGAAGCTGGTGGAACAGGCTCAATTACCTGCTCATGTGCCTGGTTTCTTATGTTACTTTCCCAGTTCTAACCATCTTAGTTCTGATACCCCCCACTCCGCCAACCAAGATTTTTTTTAAACATAATTGTCCCACAATACCTGAATTGCATGTTGGGCGCTGGCAGCATCAGCTTCCATGGCTGCACACTCAACCTCATGAAGCCAGTCAGGAACCTGGGTGTCTTGTTTGACCCCAAACTGCCTTTCTCCTCCGCATCTGCGCCATGATCGCCACTACTTACCACCACCTCCGCAACATTGTCAGACTGTGCCACTGCCTCACTCCTCAGTCTGCCGAAACCCTCGCATTCGTCACATCAAGGCTCGATTATGGAAACTCCCTCCTCGTCGGCCTTCCCAACTCCCAAATGCAAGGATTATTATTATCTGAGAGAATAGACAGAAAGATGACCTATTTCAGGCTTCTGATTACAGTACTACAGTACTACCTGTAGAGATGTGCAAGAGAGCCCTACAAAGTCTTGCTCCTCTTTCCCTTGTAGGAGAGGATTTGGCTATTGGTACAGCGCCCTCTATTGGAAGTTATGTGTTTTGCGATGCACTTCCATATTGTACAGACATCCAATAACTTTTTCTGATATGATTTCACTGAAGTGTCCCTTTTACTTTGCTAGTTTGTGCGTGGAGGCAAGCCCACCTCTGCAGATAACTAGTAATATACATTGGCAGATTTTACTTGCTTCTGAGATCTGACAAGATACCCCTTTGGGGTTGCACTCCGGTCACCTCTACATATTTGACTCAATCGAAAGCCAGAGCTCAAGAGCGAGTGAATCTGGTGATGTTCCGCAGCTGTGTGTCACCTTGTAAGTATCACGGTGACGACAAATTGGTTGCATTAATATTAATAAAAAGTCTGAAATTATTTTGCAATGTTCCTTTGCCAAATATTGGTAGCAGAATCGCAAAAGATTGCTCTTGACTTTTGCAATTCTGGACCCCAACACCATTTAAATCACATGAACAGAACTGACAAAATACTATCCTGGAGGTGTGATGCAATTAATGAAAACAACACAAAGCGGGTTAGAATCCAGTTATCGCCATATTAGCTTGAATGGAAATCGTGTAGAGCTGAGTGGGCTGTTAATTGATATTCTTTGTTCCTAAAAGGCTGTGCAAACTGAGCAGCTTGACTGTGGAGTAACTCCAAAAATACTTCACCTTCCCATAATTTATCAGGGGTTGAGCTGAAGCACCAGCCAGTTCCTAACTTCATAACAATCCAATTTTGTCAGACTATGTAGTGTCTTCCATGGGATTTTAGTTACAGCACTTTAAGCACATTTACCAGAAATGAATTTTAGTTTGATGGACTGCCCAGAATTCCTTGCTTGCTGTTACCAGTGTACTTTTCACATTCTCAGTTTGTTAACTGGATACAGTTGCACTGTTACCGCAGAGTCAATGCCGCAAAAAGCTTTTGCTATACTACTGAAAAAACTGGCTTTGGTTGGGGGGCGCTGGATGGGTATTCCTTTCCAATTGCATTTGTTGCTAATTCCTTATCTGTAATCTAGTAATAGATCTATGAAGAACTTCCTTTTTACATCTGACTGTTTGCCTTCATTCTGTAAACTAATATTGTACTCCAAACTGCCAAAATTCTAATTCAGTCTGAGACTTGTGTCTCACACTGTCCAGAACTTCTGTGTCCTCTCCCTCACCAGGCTCGGTGAGCCTACCACCCCACAATCTTCGCTCAGCTCAATTGGCTCCTCGTACCCAGTGGATTGAGTTCAAGATCCACCGTTTTGTTTTCACATCCCTCCATGGTGTTGCCCCACCCTACCTCTGCAATTTCCTTCAACCATATTATCCTTCGGAAACACTGACCTGCTTCATGTCCCGCACTCTATCCGCCCCCAGAGTTCCTTCTGGAACTCCATCCCAGAGTCTTTCTGACTTGCTCGCTTCCTCCCGTCTTGAACACCCATTTTAAGATGAACCCCTTCGGCTGCACTTTTCGTCTTCTTTCCCTTCCCCACCCCTTGAGCTCCTCCCCCAGTTAAGGTGCATAGCCAACAGTGTCAAACGCTTTGAGGTGCTCTTCTGATGTAAAAGGCTCTATATAAATGTAAATAGTACACTGAGATTATCATATTTTAAAGTTTCGTCCTAATCTGAAATTGACCTATCAACTAGAATTACTGTGCTCCATCCTATTCTTGGGTTTCACTTATGGAACTTCCTGGCAGGTTGTTTTGATAGTTAATCCCACTTATGTGCATAATATTTGATTTGATAGCAAAGAACATTGGTTTCCCAGGGCAAGTCAATATCCAGGATCCCCATTTGGTTGTGTTCTGCTGTGCGAGCTTGAGTCACCATATGACATATAAGAGCTTCCCACAGAATGATAATTGAGCAGATTTAAAGAGATGAAAATCCATTGTTGTATTAAAGCATATACTGTAGTACAATACCTTTAAAAGGAAGGTGAATGAATGCACGAATGAATGAACTCAATAGTTGTAACACATTGCAAGATTGTAGCGGTGTGGAGGGGGGGAGTCACTTTTGGTAAACTGAATTTGAGTCAGTCATCAAAGTCTATGAGAGTCTTTTCTAACAATATAAATACGGAACCATATTGGAAATGCAGTATTTCTGATAAGTCTGAGAGATACAACCCTTTCAACTAATCTGTCCCAAGTGCATTGTAGTTTTATAATCGGTATTGTGTGAAGCAACTGTTCTATTGGCCCTGGAATTGTATGAAGTAATAACACTTCATAGTATAGTATACATTAATAGTACAGATATCACCAACAGTCCTGAATATATGTGGGCGAGTTATTGACTTCCCTGTTATGAAAACCCCTGTTAAAAATGTTTTCACTGTGCATGTATTTTACTGGAAATTGGATCTGTGCGTTTTCATCTAAATTTAATTGAATTCTGCATCCATTTGCATTTTTGTTCTCTTCTTGCCTTAGTTAAGAATACGCATTCTGATTTTAATAGCTTGATTTGTTTCTTTCACAGGACTGCAGACATTCCTTATTTCTGGTAGGAAGATTGGTCATTCGCTATGTACCTGTTCTCAAACTATGTTGCCTCACCTGGAAGCAGGGGACTCTTCAATTCCTGGTGCAATCCCCAAAGAGCAGGGAGATACCAAAAGTGACAATTCTGAAGTGGCACAACCAAGTGATCTGCCTGCGAAAGCAAAGGTACTCAAAGCATAAAGTATCTAACTTCATCAGGCTCACATCTTTACACAGCAGCCATCCATGCACGATTGGACCATTATATAGATTCCACTGAATACATTTTGAGATTTCTTTGCAGGAAAAATACAGTTGATTTAAGCCCACCTACCCCTTTTTCTTTTCCAGCTACCATGTCCATCCTGCACCATAGTTCTTACCCCTGGATGTGCTGTCAGTACAGAGGAGGGTGCTGTGCCAAATGGCTGTCAGGATGAACACAAAAGCACCAAGGTAACAATTCCTAATACAATGACACCAAAAAGCCTGCACACAAAAGAGTGGCAGTCAGAAAATGGGAATATTTAATTTCCAGTTCAACTGACTTAATGATAACTTGTCAATTAAATTGTGAAATAGGATTTAGTTATGAGAGATGGAGTGGAATTTGATTATTAGCATTCATTAGTAGTACTGAGAATTATCTTGTGATATACAGAGAAGTTGGTCTTTGATTTTTTTTATTATGAGCTACAGTTGCATGCTGTTGTGTTAAAAGAACAGTAAGTGATTGTAAGTAAGAATTCTCTGAAACATCCATTGCAACATGGTATAGTATTCATCCCTAATCCTAATAGGGTGAAAGATAGGATTTGTTTTGGCTGATTGTATGTATTGAATTTGTTTACAAACTCTGGAGTCAGATTCAAGATCTTTTCAAAAGTAGGTTAAGCGCCAATCCACGTATAATAAATGTTTACTCTGTCATGTGGATGGTGTTGTCAAACCTTTTTTTTAAACCTAGTTTCAACTGGGAGGACAATGTCTGAAAGCCTTGAATGGGCTTCTGAGGCCACCTGAGGAAGAAAAGCTGAACAACAGCCAGACATCATTGTTTGAGATGCTGCAGAGCGAGAGACAACTAGATGGACTGCTTCCCATTCGCTCTAAGCAGATAAGAGAGAAAACTGATGCTCAGTTTGTCAGTGTCATAAAGGAAGACAGGTAGAGCACAGAGTCACTAGAAAATAACCATTCCTTCAATTTTGTTGGGTTTAACTGTGCACCAAGAAGTTCCATCACAGTGCTTGAAATGACAATGGGCAGCACATCTTAATTCATGTCATGTCATGCAAGAGTCAGCCTGGCTCAGTCGATAGCACTCTAGCCTCTGAGTCAGAGCGTTGTGGGTTCAAGTCCCATTTGGGGATTTTGAACTCAGTTTAAGCTGACACTCCAAATGTGATGCTGGGAGAGCACTACGTTGTTTGGGGTACTGTGTTTCAGCCGAGACATTAAAACTGAGGTGCAGCCTGCAAACAAAAACCTGTTCAGGTGGATGTTAAAGATCCCATAGCACAATTTGAAAAGGGATAGGAGTTTCCCTTTATGCCCTATCCAATAATCCTCCAAATAAATTTAGTTATTTATTTTATGTCTGTTTGTGGAACATTGATGTGTGCAAACTGGCTGCCACGTTTGCCTGCAAAAATAGTCACTAGGCTATACAATAAATCCTGTGAAGAGTTTTGAGATATTTCAATGATGTAAGGTACTGTATCAAATGCAAGGATTATTATTAGGCTTGTGAGATTCTAAAAAGTTACCTCCCATGCACTTTCTTAACCAGTAGTTCTCAAACACAATCACAAGGGCCATCAGAGATACTGTTATGGGAGAAATGTATAGAACAGTTCAATAAAATATACTTGTCCTCTTTGAAAGTTTCAAAACATTTGACTCATTTAATGATTCAATTAATTTTATTCTTCTGGACTATTGCAGGTTTTTTGTAGCTGAAACAGATCAGAGAATGGACTTTCTAAATCTTGTCTCAGTTTCTGTCAATTCCATAGCTGCACATTTATCAGGGAGAGACATGAATCAAGCTGAGCTTCAGTCTCACTTTCAGCCTGTGTGGGTGGAATATTTTTGTTGGAATAATTGTAAACATTTGACCCTGCACTTAACACACATCAAGCTCTCTAGGACGTCAACGTGAAGGGCACTATATAAATGCAAGTTGTTGTATAATCCCGTAGCTAACTTGGTTATTGAGAACTTTGCAAACACTGTTGGAATTCTCAGGTTTCTGTTGGAAGGCAACAGTTGACATGGAAGGCTGGTGTAAGGAAGTTCTTGTGGATTTCTAACTGAGCTCATGTCCTAAGCCTTGGTCTCAAATTTTAAAGATGCAATACTTTCTCTTTGGAATGCCATTAGAATTGCAAACATTGTGAATCTACCATAAGCAATATTTTAATCAAAATAAAACTATTCCTTAAAAAAAGTGTTTTAAAGTGTTGCATCTTTACATTCTATCTGCTGGCATGTTAGTACATCATTTCCAACAGACTGGTTGGTGCATCTCCAACCATCTTGAACTAAGGGGCGAGATGGATGTTAGACTTACTGTTGAAAATAGGACTACATCATAACCAGTACATTGGTGGGACTAGCAAGGTTAGATATGCACAGAACAACTGAATAGAGTTATAAGTGACTACTGAAGAATGAAGGTACGTGTGTGTCTGGTATCCCAGGACGTGTTCTGTAAATCCTGAGGAAATGGTGCAAGATATGTACTCAACAAAGCTCTGACTGTAGTGGGGAGTCACTAATCTATATTGCATCTGATTCAATCTTATTGTCAGTTTGTGGTCTCTGCCCTTTCCCTATTAATTTACATGATTACAGGATGCTTTGTTTTAAAAGTTTTGGCTCAGTCTTTTTTGGGCATGAATTGTGAATAGTGTACTTCCCAATTAGCAACAGATTTTCCACAGACTAATGTGCTTCAGCAGCCCTGGCTCAGTAAATATTTAACTTAGCACTTACATATTTAGCCAAAGGACAGAGTTCTTGGTTGTGACATTTGGAAAACATTTCAAAGATGCCTGGAAGTGCGTTTGAGGTTCTGCCAACTAGGTGTTTGTTTCCATATTTTGGATTGATGAAGGGTATTGAGGTGTAAAGGTCCTGGTGTAAATTGGAGTTGTGATTTGAGTTTTAGCAAATCAATATTTTCTAGGAATATTGTGGAGGTCTTGCAGCCCTCCCTTCTGTTTTTGAATAGTGCCAAGGGTTGTTTAACATCCATCCTGAGATAGGACCTCAGATTAAAATCTTGTATGAAAGATAATCATAATCCTTCCATTTGATATAGTGCCTTATCGTGTCGGTTAGACGTCTCAAAAGAGCTTCACAGGATCTACTGTAAAGTGGATTGACTGTATTTTGTGGACGAAACAGGGCAGCCAGTAGTGCACAGCAATGTCCCACAATGTCCCTTCTCTGAATAGTGCCATGGAATTTTTAACATCTACCTGAACAGGCAGATGGTACCTCGGTTTAACATCTCATTCAAAGGCTCAACAGTCCTGCCCCCACCCCCAGCACGCACTGCTTTGGAGTGTCAGCTTAGACTATGTGATTCCAAGTCCCGACGTAGGGATTGAGCCCGCAAACTTTGACTCAGAGGCGAGAGTGCTACCACTGTGCCAGGCTAACACACAATGCCACATCAGTGTTCCTCCAGCACTGTTTTGGAGTGTCAATAAGATCAAAGTCCCAACCTGGGACTTCAACTCTCGAACTCTGACTCCAAGGTTACACTGCTACCAACTAAACCAGGCTGAAGCCTAAAATTGTGGCAAATTGCATGTATTTCTGTTATTTCCAAGTTTTTGTCAGAAAATGATTAGAGTGTCAATGCCTGTCTTTGTCCTTTCCTTTCTTGCCCATAGTTTCCCCCCCTCCACCCCCACTGACACTCTCCATAAACTGTGGTCAACCCTGACAGTTGTAAGTATCTCTGATCCATTTTGTGTTCTCTTTCTCTATTCACAGCCAAATGAATGAATACTTCTCTAAACCGCCCATTAATAAGATCAGCCTAAATTTCTTAGATTCAAGCTTGGAGAAGGCATACAGAGGCAGCTATCAAGATGAGGTATGGATGCAGCATGTGTCTTGTCATTGCTCATGGTTACAGATAAGTTTGAATGCTGATGTTACATGCAAAGGTTTTTGTTCTATTTAAAAAAGGATCTTTTGTCAATCAAAGAACATTGTTCCAGCATTGCAGACTTACTGAGTTATTTGTGTGCCAACATACCTTCCTAGAGTCAAGGTGGCTGTTGACAATTTTGAACTGTTGCAATAATAAATGTTTAAAAGCTGAAATAATGATATTTAATATTTATTACATGGGAACCATAACACCATAGAAATTTACAGCACAGAAGGCCCATTATAGTGTCTGATTTTTTTAAAAAAAGAGCGATCCTTTTGAACCTATAATAATAATAATCCTTGCATTTGATATAGCGCTTTTCACATCGGGGGGACGTCCCAAAGCGCTTCACAGAACACACTGTAAAGTGAATTGACTGTATATTTTTTGTGGGCGAACGTGGCAGCCAATTGCGCACAGCAATGTCTCACAAACAGTCGTAGATTGAAAATGACCAATTTATTCTTGTTTTTGGTTTTGGAGGGATTATTATTAGGTGTGTGGAGTAAGGAAACTTGCCCAAGGTTTCGCCCTCTGCCTGGAATTGAACTCAGGTCTCTCACTTGCAAAGCGAGTGCTCTAACCACTGAGCTACAGGACTCCACAGTTATCCCCATAACCCTGTAATTTACTCCTTTTTAGATATCTGTCTCGTTCCCTTTCGAAAGCTGATATGAATTCTGCTTCAAGCATGATTATTCTCGAGGCATGTATTCAAATGTTAAAGGAAAATTATGTGGATTCACAAAATTTCTGTGGCAAATTAGTGTTAAAATTGACTTAATTTATAATAATTTTATCAAATGCTTACATCCAGTCTGTGTTAGCGCTGTACTACTTAAAGCTATAACTTTGATTGATGATTATTTATCTAATCTCAAAAGCATCAAACAGAGATTGCACAGAATGGACCGGGTACAAACTAGAGCTCTGTTCTGCAAAAGTCATTGTGTTCCTATTCCTTGCCTACCCTGTTTCCTTTCATTCAAAGACGGTTTACGTATATTAATTCGCCCTTTTGTAGTTCTGTGTTGTTGCATTTTGGATTTGAGTAAATGGACCTGCTGCTTTCTTCCAACAGTTAAGAATACTTAATTTATTCAGGTAATTAGCTGAGCCTTATAGACTGTGATGATCCCAGGATTGATGGTTGGTTTATTCTGGGTTAGCTGATCTCAGCACTAGTGGTTTTCCACTTGGCATGAGAACCCGAGCACAGTGAAAATCAGCCAGGGTGTTCTCTCCTGAGTGATGAGCGGCAACCCCTGCTGGTAGGATTGATGAATGACACATCTGGTGAGGATTGTGTGGCTTCTGTCTCAGATACTATTGGAAGACCAAGTATTCTGTCCACATCAACATATTTTTATTAATGCATATATTATGGCCCGGGGCTTTAAATGATATAACATAAAAGTTAGATTCATTTATAGAACTGATTACAACTGTCTCCAAAGAATTGTTGCCCAATGCCTTCCTTTTCTCTATTCGGAAGACGAGATTCTTTTTGTGGCTACTATATCAAGATTAATGATGAATCCCAGAATCTAGTTGAACTGCCAAGTGGGGTCAAGATCTAATCTTATGAACCTGTCATTTGGCTTAATGGCATTTTATTAGAGCTCTTGACATTTATTTACTCTATGATTAACAGATGGATCATGAAAGGTTTGGATGAAGAAAACCCTTTGACCCATTTGATATTCTTACAGAAAACGAACCCTGCTATTTTCCCTTTACAGGATTGAATTATATATTGATTGAGTTCCAGCCCTTTCTCTATATGTAAAGAAATACATTGTGATATCTATCCTAAAATTACTCATCATAATTATGAACCTGTGCCAGCCTTTCCTACTACCTTAGTGTATCAAAGTATAAGTTCTGAGTTTACTTTATCTTATTGAGTTTTTTGAGGATGAAGAGCATCTTTAGTCTTTCTTCATCCATCTAGCATGAGGAATCACTCGTTGCTCTCCTCTATATTGCCTTTAGGGATTAGGGATTCCCTTTTGAGTGACTTGAAGAACTATACAGTACTTAAGGTGTTGCCTTATACCAAGTGTGGATCAAAATTAGTATTAGTACTCAACTGTAATCTGAGGATAGTTTCCAATTCGTCAAAACTTCCTAATTATTCATTGATTCCCTTAAAATGGCTGCTTCACAAATAGTTTCTCTCTTCTCTCTACCTACTCTAGACCAGGGGTGGGCAATTAGTTTGGCTGGTAGGCCACTTCACGAGTTTTGGTAAGCTTCGCGGGCCACATACTTAATATAGATGCAAATGCTTAGTAATAGCTCAAAATCAAGTCTTGTACATACATAAAATAAAGTCTATATAATTCACATTTATTAAAATTAGGTTAAATAAAAACAACTCATTGAGCAGACATTTATTCGATATTTATTCATTTATTCACATATTGATGAGAATGTGAGAAGCTCACTCAATGGGAAGAATGAAAGCGCTGATGTGGGTTAAGCAGACAATTGAAATCAGGCATCATCTCCCTTGTTGCAATGCGGAGTACTGCTGCAAGGTGGTCATCAGTCATCACAGATCTATGTTTTGATTTGTTGAATTTCATCACAGAAAATGTCTCCTTGCATATGTATGTTGATCCAAACAGCACAAGCATCCTCCGGGCATGAGCCTTTATTTTTGGAAAGGTATATTCATTAAGAGCGGCTTAAAAACTGGGAAGCGGCACTGATTTGAATTGCTCTGCAAGCAGTGGATCACATTGCAGGTCAATAAACTCGAGTTGGATGTCAAATGGGGCTTTATCAACATCAAATGAGAAAGGTGAAGAGACCAAAGACAGGTCATTTTCAATCAAATTGAAATCCTGGAATTGACGAGAAAATTCTGCATATAAGTCAAGTAGTGACGAAGTATACTTTTTAAGACTTTGATCACAAACAGTAATCTGCTGCAAAGTTGGAAAGTGGGCGAACAGCCCTTCCCTATCTGATGCGATAAAATAAATAATTTTGTCATAAATGACTTGACACTGCAATACAAATCGTGCACAAAGGCCCTCTTCCGTTGCAGTTTTGAATTCAGTTCATTCATGTGGCCCATGATATCAATGGCAAATGTGAAATCAGAGAGCCAATTCGCATCATTCAGCTGTGGGAAATCTGAATCTTTTTGTTTCATGTCCAAAGATAAATCAATCTCTGTTCTCAGTTCCCATACTCTTTTCAAGACCTTTCCTAAACTAAGCCATCTTACATTCGTGTGATACAGAACATCTATGTGCTCAGATTCCAATTCCTCAAGCAGAGTGAAATTACCTGTGGTTTAATCCTCTTGCTCGAATGTAGTTAACCACTTTCGTAACTGTGTCCACGACATTGCTTAGTTTTAGAACACTTACAGAGGACCTCTTGGATAATGCAGTGTAGAAAAACAATATTCTGTTCTGGATTTGTTTCTTTGACTTGATCTTGAATTCTTTTCAGTAACCCACCAGTTTTGCCTGTCAGATTTGGGCTTCCATCAGTGGCCACATTCACCAGTTTTTTCCATTCCTCTCCTAATTTTAAGATACACTTATTTACTGCCTCCAAAAAGGCTTCTCCAGTTGTTGTATCTTTCATTGACTGCATTGATGCCAATTCTTCTGTGAGCTCAAAATGTTTGGTGATACCTCAAATAAAAATTATCAACTGGCCTGTGTCTTTGACATCGCAACTCTCATTGAGAGCCAGTGAAAAACGTGCAAAATTGCTTACTTTAATTTGTAACTGCACATTGTTTTTATTTTCTTTATTTTATTTTTAATTTATATTATTTGTTTTATTGTCCACCCACACTGGTAAAAAAAAAATATTTGCAAGTCCATTCTTTGTTGAATATTCGGCCTTCAGCATCACTTTCCGTTTCTTTGATAAACTCATTTCGAATTGACGTCCTCCAGTGAAACGTATTGCTGCGGTTGCCGCGCACGCATGTTTGAAAGTTTGCTGATCTGAACATTTCTGACGTCAGCCTGATTCAACACTTAAGGGAGCGTGCGCACAACTAAACAGTGTGATTGGCTGATGTTCCCGGTCTGATTCAAATGTGAAATTTGTGCGACTTTCTGGGACTGAACTATAATTTTTTCTATTGCTAGACACAATAACGGCTGAATAGAATCATTTGGTGGGCCGGATATGACCCGCGGGCCTTATTTTGCCCACCCCCACTCTAGGGTATAGTTCATTCCTTTTGGGGAGTTTATTGTATTTTCCGCCCCATGAATCTTTCTAGAACTTCTGGTCACTAAAGTTCAAAATGTTTGGAAATCTTTGGGCAGCATATTGTTAAGATCTTCCCTGGTTACAATCTCCAAGTAGTAATAATTTAATAAATGAATTATTGCCTGTTCATCCTCTGTTTCAGTTCCTTTTGATTTAGTTTAGGTCCTTTTACTGTTAGAAAATGTAACAATTTTTTTCATGTTTGAATTACTACGTCTCTCTAGTTTCCTCTGGTCTCTTCTGGTCTTTTTTCGTTGCTTGTGTATATTCTTGTAACTAGCTTGTTCTGTACAAACTTTGTGAGAGGATGCAGAAATATTGACCATTGGACTATTTCTTGCCTTTTTCAGTGGACTTTACAAATAACCATGTTAAATTTCATCCAATTGATTTGCCCATATCTTTTTGAATAATGTCATTCTTCCCCACTTAGCCATCTGGCCATTTGGGTTAATATCCTCAGAAAATCGTGATGTAACAAGAGTTCTCTTCTTAACAGAGCAACCCAGCAGGAGACCCAGAACACATTTCTATGGAACTCTGCTAATCACTGCCCACCAATGGGAGCTCTGTCTATTTATCCTCCAACATCTGTTTTCAATAGATGAGCCTGTTTTCAATTCAGCTTGCTACTTTAATGTAAATTCCACACATTTATTGTCTCATGTTTCAGATGCAAATCTTTAGAAAATGCCTTCTGAAAATTCAAGGTTACATGGATACTTCACTGAATGCTTCATTCACTTCAGCCATGAAATAATTCTAGGCAATTCATGAGTTCTGACTTATTCTTTCAAATATTATTCCACATTTTCTCTCTCTCCCCCAACCCCCCCACCCACCAAATACCCCGAACCTAAAAGCTCAAATGAATACTGATAGTTTCCTGTAAATTGCCTTTGAAGGTTTTCTTCATTACCAATGTTGGATTAACTAGCCTGTAGATCCTCTGATTGATGTGGGATTCCTTCTCTGAATGTTGGGGTAACCCGAGCCTTCCTCCAATCCTCTGGTACAGCATCTGTTTATTGAGCTGCTGTGAATATTAACTAGTATCCAGGCTCTTAGTTCATCTGACTGACTCATTGGTCATTCCAGTGCAATCTTTTTCTAGTCTTTTGGCTGGCCAAATATGTTAAGCTAATGAAAGTTCTTATTTCTTCTTACTGTTTTATAAATTGCATTTTGTATAAATCCCAGACAATTTCATTTGAATTCCTTGGGTCTTTACTAGACTGTTGCTTCCAACAATAAAGCAATTAGGAGTGGGAAATGTGATTTTATTTTTCCCTACCCTGGAAGGGGGATCTGACATCTCATCTGACACCAAACACCAGCTACTTAATTAATATTAGGGAGCCAATCGTGTGACCCATTTCTTAAAAATAGACCTATAAATGTTTGTGGGTAGCTCATTGTACATTTTTAAGGAGCAGAGGTCACATCTATTAGTACTGCCTGCAGCTACTATTGCAGTAGAGCAAATTTCCCGATGAAGCCACCTCCTCAAGCTGGTCTCAGCACTCAGGTTTTACAATTTGGCATCAGTCTTTTAAGATTCTTTAAGATTCTTCTTGATCTCTTATTTTGCTGTTTTTGTATCTGTCCAAATATTAAACTATTTTAAAATGTGCTGAGATTAAGGGTTTTTTGCAAAGGTCAATTAGAATCAGAGAAAACGTATCATCCCGACTTTGGTAGGGAGAGCAGTCATGTACAGTGGAAAAAATGGCGGCTTTTACATTATCTGAAATACAAATTAAAGGTATGACAAAGCATTGAGGTTACACATTGGAAAGTTGCTTTATTGATCTAATTGGTATTGGTTGTACTGTGGAGAGACTGTTTACATAATTCAGACATTTGTCAATACCTAGAACACCTGTACTTCTTCCATTCATTGTCTTATGTTTGTTACATCATTGTATTTGATCTTGTTGTTAAAAGGCGTACTGTATGTTTCATTTTTGTTTCTTTTCCCCCCAATAGGTTGTGAACAATGCCTCAGAGAAGACGTTTGCCAGTGCCACATTCAGTTCACTCCTTGATGTCTTTCTCTCCACCATAGTGTTCCTCTTTCTCTCCATCACGTGTTTCATGAAGCAGGGCTTGTCTACATGTCCACCTTCCCATGCCTCTGTTGTGGTTTTTGTCCTTGCGATCCTGCTTCAAGTACTTTCCTTGGTCATCTCCATCAGGTGAGGCAAGCATATTGTGTTGAGGGTTCCATCAAGGAGCTCATTGCTCCAACAGATAGGGCTGATATAAAATGCAGTTTGTTGATGTGTCTCCAATGCATCCTTTCTCCAGCTTTAATACAACTGCAGTTCACTCAGTGATTGTTGCTCAAAGACTTTTCTGCTTTTCATACATAAGAAGGCAAACAATGCATACAAACAATGCATTGCAGTTGATTCTCAATGAATAATCTGATTTTGAATTGGCAATTGTTTGTTTTCACATTGTTTGGATGTATAGGAAACCCTGATAACTCAACCCTGGCTTAACTTGTCACTACCACTTAAGTCATCATAAATATCCTGACTACATTTATTTATACATATACCTAACTCCCCACTCTGGATAACTAGTCACTGAGCCTATTTGCCTTGGAGTGACGAGTTTACTATATTAGTATTTTAGCAGTGAAGCTGGGCAACTCTTCCATTTCTTCCAATATTTGAATCTGTTGTATTTTACTGGTAAGTATAAATGTGTGTCTTAATCAGGGTATACAGTATGAATGTTTGTGGCTGTTCTGAGAAATGATCATTCAAAAGGCTGATTCAATACCCTACCCTTGTAACCCTAGCTCTCTGTTGGTTTGTAGAATGGCCTTTTACTTGGATGAGGTGATGCCGTGCACCAAAAGACTGCTGAGGGCAATCTCAGGCTGGCTACCTCGTCACTTCATTGGAGCCATTCTTGTTTCTCTCCCTGCTGTAGCTGTGTTTTCCCATTTCACTTGTGAATTTGAAACCAATGTAAATGTGAGTATCCAGCGCCCTCAAGTGAAGGAAAGGAATACATTCTGGTTAAAGTGTTTAATTTTGAATCAGTGCAGTGTTGCATTCTTCTTTTGGCTTAAAAATGTTTGTTATTGGGGTATTTGAATTTTGATTTTGAATCGTACTCAATAAATGTTCAAACCAAGCTTAATTCCTGCCCCTCAAATTCCATATACCCAAGGTTTTTGTTTTTTGAAATTGTTTTTGAGCCTTTTTAAAAAAAAACCTGGTCTGATTTCTACATAATTGATTGAATTTGTAGACTTAAGTCTGAAACCCTGGTCCATGCCTTTGTCACCTCTCGGCTGGACTATTCAAACGCCCTCCTCGCCGGCCTCCCCTCCACTACCATCCATAAAATTCAGTTTATTCAAAACTCTGCACCCGCATTCTCACCCGCATGAAACTCCGCTCCCCGATTACCCCAGTCCTTGCCAGACTGCATTGGCTCCCTCTCCCAGAGAGGATCGATTTAAAGATCCACTATGCCCCGAGGCTCTGGAACTCCATTCCACATTCCCTTCGCCTCGCCCCCTCTCTTCCTACTTTCAGGTCTCTGCTGAAGACCTTTCTTTTCGACCACACCTTTGGTCACCTTCCTCCCCCTGGTTCGCCCCAGGATCCGTTACTGTGAAGCACTCTGAGATGCCGTCCGGCATGGGGGTGCTATATAAATCCAAGTTGTTATTAAGTCCCCCAGTACTCCAAAATGTATTGTAAAACACCATTTTGATTTGCCCTTCTTAAAAGTAATTGTTTTATCCAAATCACTACAGAAGGTCATTCTGTGCTTGTTTCACGTTCATGGCATTGTCGCCAGTCTGCCTATCAATGTTTTATTCTTTGGACGTCTAAAAGATCTGAAATTACTGTTATTACTTCTATTTTCTGCCCTTTTCCAGATGACCATGTTCTTCTGTTGCGCATTGATCATCACTTTCATTCACTACTGCAACTTCTGCCAGTTAAGTTCCTGGATGAGATCGTCTTTGGCTACTATAGTGGGAGTGCTGCTCCTCATCCTACTGTATGTCACACTGTGCTCTTCCAAGTAAGTACTGTACCTGTGATATTCACGCTGCAGTCCGATGAAAGGCTGCAGTTCTTCAGAGTTTGATTCACAGTATTATCTGTTGATTAGCCACGCTAAAGCAATTTTGGACCGTCTTGTGTGGCATTCCTCAGGGCTCTGTCCTTGGTCCCCTCCTATTCAATATCTATATGCTACCTCTAGGTGACATCATCCGCAGACATAGGGTCAACTTCCACATGTATGCGGATGACACCCAACTCTTTGCCTCCACCCTTGACTCCAGGACCACTGCTGTCCTGACTAAATGTCTGTCACATCAAGTCCTGGATGAGAGCTAACTTTCTTCAGTTGAATGTCAACAAGACCGAGGCTTTCCTGATTGGCTCCCATCAGCGCCTCAGGTGAGGAGGCGCTGTTAACTTCACCATCTATGGTTGCACAGTCCACCTTGCTAAGCCAGTCCGGAACCTTAGGATCTTGTTTGACCCTCAATTAACCTTTCTATCTGTGCCATGACCTGCTCTGCCTTCTCCACCTCCGTGACGTCACCCAGCTCCGCCGCTGTCTCACACCTCAGGACGCCAAAACCCTCAGACATGCTTTCGTTACATCGAGGCTTGACTATGTAAACTCCTTGCTTGTCAGCCTCCCCAAATCCTCCCTCCATAGACTGCAGCCCATCCAGAACTCTGCAGCCTGTGTCCTGTCCCGCACTAGACTCCGTGACCCTACCATCCCCATCCTTGCCCAACTCCACTGGCTTCCCATCACACAGAGGATACAGTTCTAGATCCTGGTCCTTACCTTCAAAGCCCTCCATGGTCTTGCTCCCCCCTACCTCTGTGACTTCCTAACCCCCTACCAGCCTGCTCGCTCCCTTCGCTCTGGCCTGCTTCACGTCCCCTGCCTCGCTCGCCACACTACTGACGGGCGGGCCCCCATCCTTTGGAACTCCATCACGCAGTCCTTCCGCCTCGCCCCTCCCATGCCACCTTCAAGACCTATCACTCCCACCCTCGCTCGCCTCCACTGGCTCCCCAATCCCCCAGAGGATTGAATTCAAGATCCTCATCCTCACCTACAAGGCCATTCACGGCCTCACTCCCTCCTACCTCTCCGACCTACTATCCCCCTACCTACCTGCCCGTACCCTCCGTTCCTCTGGCTCCGGTCTTCTCCACATCCCCCGCCCCAACCGCCCTACCATCAGTGGCCGGGCCTTCAGCCTCTCAGCCCCTAGGCTCTGGAACTCTATCCCCCAGTGCCTTCGCCTTGCCTCCTCCCTTTCCTCCTTCAAGGCTGGTCTCAAGACCTTTCTCTTTGACCGGGTCTTCAGCTCCCCTCTCGACTCTCTACCCCCTCCTCGCTCCCTCCCTTCCCTCCCCTCACCATTTCCCCCCTGCTCGGGTCCTGACCAAACTGTCCAGTGCCTTGGGACGTCCTCCCGACGTGAAAGGCGCTCTATAAATGGAATCTTGTTGTTGTTGTTTGACTGTGCTTTCAATCTCCCTGCTTCCCTCCCCGAACCCGACCTCCAGCTCCGGTCCATAACTCTGTCCAGCGCCTTGGGACGCCCTCCTGACATGAAAGGCACTTTAAAAATATAATTTTGTTGTTGTTTCTTTGACTGTTAATCGCAAGCTGTTGCTGGGAGGATCTTATGCAGCAGATGTAAGAGCATTAGTGAATTCATTAGAATCGTGTCAGCCTGAGACCTCTGGTCCAGGAAGAAAGAGATAAGTAGAACTTCTGTTCCTTTTTTTAAAAAAAGTTTAAATTATTTTTCCCATTCTCTGTATTTTTAGGGTAGACATTACAAAAGTTGGATATGTGCAACAATATGGGTAAGATTCAAGTTTTTCAAGATAGTTGTGCAAAGCTTATTATATAGAATGTACATCATCAAAAGAGGCCATTCAGCTCACCTAGTCTATGTGGGTGCTTATATAATATATAATAATAATCCTTGCATTTGATATAGCGCTTTTCACGTCTTATCGACGTCTCAAAGCGCTTCACAGAATAGACTGTAAAGTGAATTGACCGTATATTTGTGGGCGAAATATGTGCCTCCAAACATTCTAATAATCCAAAATAAAACCTGATTTTGACCGTTTATCTTTTTATGCACTAATTTTTTTCCTCGGTTTTCTCTCATTTTTTGACAAGATAAATAGATCCAGAATGAAACCAAAAAACCCAGGCTTCTTTTTTATGAATTTTAAAAAAAATTGCTTTTATGGTCTAGATAAGTTTCTTTCTCTTTAGTCTGTGCTTAATATTTGGCATGATGAGATTTAGAGGGGTAATTTATGTGGCTTCCACATCGGGATGTATCAAAGCACTTTGCACAGCTGGCTGGAATGCAAGCTGGTAGGGGCAAAATGGGGACATTGTGAGAAATCAGCTACTTTTGTTTAAGCATGCTTTGCCCATTTCCCTTATTGAATTCATAGTAAATATACACCATGTGATACACTGTATATGTGAATTTAGGATCCATTTTTTTTTTGTCTTTCAACCTTAGTCTGGTAAATGATTATATATCGATTATTATTTACCAGCTAAAGAAAGGTCTCCTGTTCTCTTCTCTCCTCCCTCAAATGCAGAGATGATCTATGCAACAGTTCGTTGTCAAGTTGGAGCTCAAAGAAGCCTGTTGAGGTGATTGGAAAGGAAGTGATTCTGGACATTGCCCTGCTGCTTTTGCTGGTCTGGTTCTTGAACCGAGAGTTTGAGGTCAGTTACCGTCTCAATTACCATGGTAATGTGGAGGCAGATCTACATCGGCACAAAATACAAAGCATGAAGGATCAAGCAGACTGGCTCCTTCACAACATCATTCCAGCTCACGTGGCTGATCAGCTCAAGGTAACCCCTCATTATTCCAAAAATCATGAAGATGTTGGTGTCATTTTTGCCAGCATTGTCAACTTCAGCGAATTCTATGAAGAGAACTATGAAGGAGGGAAGGAATGCTACAGAGTGTTGAATGAACTTATTGGAGATTTTGATGAGTTGTTGAGCAAACCTCAATATAACAGCAATATTGAAAAGATTAAAACCATTGGAGCTACCTACATGGCAGCTTCTGGATTAAACCCTTCCCAACGACGTGACAGCAACCATCCACACAGTCACTTGCAGACACTCTTTGAGTTTGCCAAAGAAATGATGCGAGTTGTCGATGAATTTAACAAGGACATGCTCTGGTTTAATTTTAAGCTGAGGATTGGTTTCAACCATGGACCTCTCACTGCTGGAGTTATTGGGACGACAAAACTACTGTACGACATATGGGGAGATACTGTCAACATTGCTAGTAGGATGGACACTACAGGAGTAGAATGTCGGATCCAGGTCAGTGAGGAGAGCTACCGCATATTAAGTGAAATGGGCTATGATTTTGATTATCGAGGGACAGTGAATGTGAAAGGCAAAGGACAGATGAAGACCTACTTGTATCCAAAAAGCACAAACAGCGGAATTATCCCATCACACCAGCACACTGTGTCCCCGGACATCCGAGTGCAAGTGGATGGAAGCATTGGCCGCTCGCCTACTGATGAGCTTGGAAATCTTGTGCCTTCTCTGCTCATCTCAGACAAAACTTCTCACAGCTCAGGTAACACTGAGGCTAAAGACTTGCTTTACACACACCGGAAGGTAAAGAAAGAGCAGGTCAAAGAAGCAGGTAGTAAAGTGGACCGTTATGTGGGCGAAGAGGATGGCAGTCGAACACAAGAAATAGACGAACTGACAAAACTACAAATATCTAGCCGCCTATGATGCAGCTTTGATACTACAAACCGGCTTTCGCCGGTAGAAACCAGTTCACGTTGGTAGTGTCTGATGTGTGTGACATTATTATTCCCTGTTTTAATATTTTCATTTTATCTCCTGTTTTCTGTGTGGATCACAGTAACCTAGGAGCCAGCTCCATTGCAAATGTCTGCGCTGTTTGGGAATATTAAGTGCCTTTGGAAAAAAGCTGGGGTTTATACTCCAAACGGATGGAGGCTACGGAATGCATGATTTAATTTACAACCCTGGATAAAGCTGTGGTTGTAACCTTTACCCAGTCTTTTTCTCGTTAATGCAATTTTTCTTTTATATTTTTTTGTACATGCAATTATTGTAATGTTTAATCAACTGACCTTTTTTTTTCTAAAACACAGAAACAGACATCACTGGTGCCAGTACACTAACAGGTGGGGAACGGGACTGTATAACTTTTTTTCACCATGTGAATTATGTTCTTAGTCAGCTCCAAAACCACGAAGGTGAGGTCTGATCTGCCACTATTCCAAAGGGTCTAGATAATAACGTGTCATTAAATTCAGATGTAGTGTTGGTGCAGTGACTGTCTAGACTTTTCTTGATTTACTAGTATTATGAGTGACTATATTGTGTAATGACAGCAGTCTGTAATCTGAGTTATAGACCTTTCTCTTTGTGTTGGTGTCCAGGCACAGACTTTTTTGGGTCTTGGATCAGTGGAAGTTCATTGAGCTTAGGATGTTTTGATGATTGTTTCACAAATACTGGGGGAAGCTAAATGATTCATTAATTTTATCACTATACCCAGGTTAGAATGTTAGAAAGAGTTGTCCTTAAAGTTAAGTGTTTTCATTCAATCAATTTAAAAGCCCCAATTTCCTTAGTTTGGTGCCCGCTTACAAGTCTGTTTTGTTAGTTGTAGTTAGCCCTTTTGCAATGGGGAGAAAAAAGTTAAATTGCAGAATTATTCAAAATCGTATAGAACTCCCTGCTCAGGTAGAGCACTGCAGGTGTCAGTACTAGGTGCACCTTGCAAAATTCTGGTTTGCTGAGCACCATACCACATTCCTGCAATGACACGCTCCCATCTCTGACGGAGAACAAATGTTGCACAGGTGTGATTATCTGCATTATGAGGGTCAGGTAATTGTGCAGCAATGCTCAGTTAGTTATCTATCCCGTATTGTTCCACTCTTCTCTACAAAGGTGATGTCAGAGAGAGGTGTTTGGACGCTTTGGGTCTACTTTGGAGCTACTCTAATTACACTGGTTTCATGGTGTAACAATTTTGACTGTTTATTTAAAAGTCCAATGAGCATTACAACATTCTAGTTGTTTTTGAGGATAGGACAGTGTATGAATAACTGTAGATTTTTCTCTACTCTTCCAGAAATAAAATGATCAGTTTTGTAATCATTGCTTCACGAGGAATACTAAAGAACTGACCAGCCCCGTTATTTTAAAAGCAAAAATCCAGTTTGATGTGTAAATATTGAAATTTAACAAAATGTGCTGTAACTGGTGGCTTGTTTTCAATCATTTTGCCCAAGATTTCTATTTGACCCATTTCCAACATAAACTACGAAGAATGTGCAATCTTTATTGAACCGAGGTTTTGAAGTTGTGGATCTGTGGGTAAAATGTGACAAATTATTACAATTCCAGCATAGATGCTGCTGTACCAAAAGTGTGTGTGTGATCCTGAGATGTCAGTGAAAGTCTCCTTAGGATGAAGAGTTGATGACTCCTTATTGTGGAGTGTTCTTATAGCCTTTCTTTAACAAGAACATTTAATCTGTTTCATTGCATTCTACTATGCTGGATATTCAGTATATTTGTACTGTTGGGAACTGATTTGAGTTTTCTCCATGGTGTGGGGCCATGAACCTACTCTCTCCCCTTCCTCTTCAGTCCCTTTCCTCCACTCTTGGGGCAAGTACCTAAGAGAATGTTTTAAAAATAGTAATTCAAGCTGCAATATTGTGAAACATGATTATTTAACATTAGATACCTGCAAAAATTGAAGGACAGTGTTACATTTATTAGAAAGCTTTTTATTGACCAGTGTTATGTTAAATAGTCCAAATGTCAATTTAATCATGTTGATGAGATGTTGTAAAGTCATGCCAGAAGAAGGACCATTGATTTAACCAGACTGGGCTAGTAAGTTATGATGCTTGGTGTGGTTTGTGCAAATCTGGAGTGTCGATTAGGTGTAATTTACACTTTACTTTAGCCCCCTTCTTTAAAACCTAGCTATCAAATCCTAGCATTTGGTCTCCTTCTCCCTTGGGGCTTGTTCTGCAAGGTTAGGCGAGCAGTTACATTATCTGAGATGTGTTCATATTTTCATTCAATTGATCTGAGCGATGTCTTTCTTGTCCCACTTTCTTGTCCCACTTAATAGAATTTAACCAAATTGAGGATTAGGCTAAAAATTGAATCACAAGATCATAAGTACCTTTTTGCCACATTTGTGTCTCCATTTCCTGCTCGTACATCAAATCCTTTCATCACAAAATCCTTTCACCCCTGCTGCCTGTGGTTAAACTCAATTTGGCCTCACCTCAGTGTTGGGATAGAAGTTCAATTCCACTCTCCTTCAGCCAATTTCTTTGTTCACACAGGTGTGGTTTGATAACTTGAGCTCTTTTGGTAGGACCTTGCTAGCATTTTTGCATCAAAATAAAAATGAAACCTAAAATAGATTTTCAGAATATTGGAAATGTACATGTACATAAACTAATTCTGCTGCACAACCAGCAATGAGATTTATGCTAAAGATCTCCAAACTCTGTTCTATCTGTCGCAAAGTCTCTGAAGGAAGTGTTATTGTCCAATGAGTTAGCAATGTGCTCCCTACGATCCTTAATATATGTAAAGCATGTGTTGTTTGGCCTTATTGTGCTATCCCTATCTAACGTTCATCAGAAATTAGTCCGTTGAAGAGTGTTCTTCACCACGTTGTGGCATATCATCTGTGGCATCTCCTATGAAAGCAACCAAAAACACTACCACCAACACTATTGTTCTGAATGAGATTTTACTTTAGTATTTTTATACAGTCCTATAGGTCTTAATTTGATATTCAACAGTACAACATTTGTTTGTCCAAAGGCTTGTGATTAATGGCCTAACATTTTAAAAAACGTTTCTACTTCTTTTGACATTGCAGGTCTCATATGCTAAGAAATTTCTTTACATTTGCTGAATGCTAAACATATTTTCAAATGTCTGTAAGAACTGTTTCTTTGGTAGGGAGATAAGTGAATATTGAAGTAACTTTAAATTATTTATCTGCCATTCTATTAGATAATGGCTGATCTGTACCTCAACTCCAAATAGATCAACAAGACAGACATGGGTTAGGTCGTGAGAGAGAGACCAACTTTGGGAGGGAGAGAGGAAAAGAGAGAGCAAGAAGGCATAGAGATGATTGGAACATACTCATAGAAAATAAATAAAATGACAATTTGGTCACTCAATCCACAACTATTTGTGGGACACTGTTGTGTGCAATTTGCTGCCGCGTTTCACCCACAAATATACAGTGAATTCACTTTACAGTATATTCTGTGAAGGGCTTAGAGAGGTCTCGAAGATGTGAAAAGCGCTATATCAAATGCAAGGATTATTATTTTCAACCACAAAAGCTGATTTAGAAACCAATTCCCTCCCAATTCGAATCCTAGTGGTCGTCTATTAATGAACATTCTACTTTGCTCATGGGCATCTGTTTCCTGCAGTTGACACCACATCCTCTTTCCATTCTTTGCTAAAGTAGTTAAGCCAGCCATCATTGAGGAATCATTTCCAGCCCTCTTTCCCTACCCCCCTGAATATCCAAACCACCACAACCCAGGAGGTATCTAGCCTCAAATCAACGCAGTTGAAATCAGATATCAATATTGCACCACCCTGGAATCTCGTCTTGCTCCCATCATACTACTGCCATGCCACCATTTCTATATTTCCAGAATAAATTGATGTCATTTTTTCTGTAGAAATGCCACGTGGTTCTCACGGGTTTGATGCTCAAGGTGGATGTTGTAGCAATAAGCAAAAGGGATATAAGCCCTTTCCCAATATCTGTCTTCCATAGGCACTTCAACCAAAACTGAATCAGATTTTGTCCTCCCTATCCCAGCCTCACAAATGACCAGTGTGCCAAAAAGTGTGAGAAAATCATGATTGCATGCTTAACATCACTTTTTTTGTATGAAAAAAGTTTATAATTTTAGTTACTGTGTAATGATTACAAAAGCATTAATGATTATTTGGGTTTACCTCAAAACCAAGTGGTGTGCTTTGTGGTGTGCTGTATTGACCACACAAACAGCTGAGCTAGTTGTAAATTTGTGCAATTGGGCTCAAGATTTGCATGCAGATTACTCCAAGCTGCACAAGCCCCTTTGTGGATGGCCCAGGCAATATTCAGTGCCACATTCTGGTTTGATTCTAATCTAGGATTGAAAGAGATTACACTTCCAGGCTTTAGTTTACACACAGAAATGAAGGAAGGAAGGAGCACTTGCAGCTGAATGTTTCCCATGTGGAAGGCACACCTTTTAGCTGAATGCACTTTGTATTGTAAGGTTCCCTTCCCAGATCTGTGTGCAGGACTCTCCATTGCAACAGACCTTTTAGTGGCTGACTGTTCTGTGTAATATCTACTGCAGTCTGTATTGATATGATAGCAATATTCTGAGCTGACCATATTCTGATGCTTTTAATATTTCTATAGTGATGGGTAGCATGCCTCTTTTCAAAAAACAAATTGTGAAAATGTCTGTGTTAGGCAAGGAGCTTTATCCTATATATTTTTTCACGCATGTATATTGTAGATCACAATTGTAGTATAAATAGAAGCTGTTCTTTGTTTTGTTGTGTGGAACTAATCAGGCACCATTGTGCACGCTAGCAAAATTCAAACTCATTGATTCACTAGAACCAGTATTAAAAGCAATAATTTGTTGAGTTGTGGAGAGTATGGTCACATGTAACTTAGGAAGGATATTTAGATTTGAAGTCATTTTGCTAATATCATCCCATAATCTTACCATGACTAATATCCCAAAGGTTTTTTTTATCCAATATACCTTTTTGGAAGAGTTCTTGTCTTTTCATGTCAGCACAAAATATAGTACCTTCATAGCATCCTGCCTGAAAATGATCAGAACCACAGTGGGCTATTGCTGATTGAGCTGCCTTGCTGGAACAGTTCAGGTCGGGCTGGGAACACAAAACCATTCCCAGCCCAGCTGCCGAGACTTGGCTGCTAGAATATCTTCCTAAACACTGCAATCTGCACATCACTAAGATCCCAGGAGTAATTCTTTTGAGCAACACTACATAAAGTAACT